TGAGAATATAATTCGTTATCTATTTCTATCAGATTCATTCAAATTATTTTCAACACAATTGAAAGTGATATAATCAATGTTTGACATTTGCATCAAAGTGTTTTCATTATTTGAGTATTATTGAATATCAATGATAAACAATATCAACTAAAAAACAAATGATATGAACAAATTTTTATTAAAATAATTCATTAACAAAACATAAATCAAACGATTTATTACTCAATTAAAAAACGAAGAAAAGAGCAATGGCAATAAATGCAACAATGGTAGCAATTGATCCATCATCATTAGGTTTATTCTGGCATTCATCTTCACATTCATATTTAACGTATTTATCACCATTTGATTGTGGAACACACATTCCACATTTATACATTTGACTTCCAAATCCAAGTTCTTCAGTACAATTTTCATCTTTATAATAAAATGTTCCAAAGTATCCAACTTTATTTTCTGATTTCATATAAAATTCAGTATTACTTACTTTATTACAATTCTTAGTTGAGACATTACAACTATATCTAACCATATTACTTGTTACGTTAGTACATTGATCATCTGAATATACTTGATTATTAATTAAACTACATTCATCACCCATTTTATCTGGTTCTTCATTATACAAATAAACTAATCCAGTAGTACTTGAACTAATGTCTGCTTTCTTAGTAATATCCATAAGTTGTTCATTTGGTTCATCACCAGAACAATCAGTAGTAGTATAGGAAATGATCTTGATTTTTGCTTTTGTGTTTTCATCTGTAGCTGGGACATAAGTTACTTTTTTGGAGCTTGTGTTCTCGAAATAACATTTTCCATCTTCATAAACAGTAACCACTTTAAGTTTACTATCACTGTAAGTACATTCATAAATATTTTCAGCAGCAGCAAAAGCAGTAAGTGCTAATAATGCAATGAACATTTTAATGTTTATATTTTCTAAGTTCTAATGTTTATATTTACCATCACCTAACTTCACTTTTTCTCATTTGGTTAAAATAAAGTACGAAGAAAAAAATCCTTTTAATAAAATGTATTATAATTCATTTGATTGGCTAATAATTTATTAATACATTTACTTTTTTGACTCATTTGTAGTTTTTTTTTGTTAATTCCACTTCTATAAAGTTCTTTACTCATTTTATTTTTTTTGTATATTCCTTAGTTTTGAGTGCAAAGGAAAGAAACGAATTAAAATTTAATGAAATGAGGAATAAAAGAAGAATGAATAACATGAAAAGTAAAGAATTTGTTGCTAAAATAAAAGGTATTTCAAATAAAAAAAAAGTCTGAAAGAAAAAAGAGTTATTTAAACTTGGAGAAAATGAACTTACAATAGTACAATGATTGGTTTATTGATTGTCTTTGTAGTATTTGCTTCTGCTAAAGAGTTTTATAAATACACTTATACTGGAACAGGAGATAATAAAAAAATTGCTTCATATGTAGTTTATGAAGTTGATAAATGCTATAGAATTTCTGCAACTACTTATCAATCAATTTCACAACATAATGGAGAAACTCCTGCTGATGAAGGAAAATACTTCTATGGTACATTTACAGATAAAGAATGTAAAACTTCTTCTGATGTTAAACAATATACTGTTGAAGAATTAAAAACAAAGGATATCTTTGAAACAAAACCAGAAGAAAGTAACCAATGTAAAGAAGTTGCTGCTAGTCAATTTGTTGATGATAAATGTGAAGATCCAATTCCAGGTGGAAAACAATTTGTATGTAATGTAGAAAGTGATGTTAAAACATGTATTAGCAGTGGTAATGAATATACACAAACAGGAGTTGTTCATGGATATCAAGGTACTTTCCATTATTCTGATAGTGAGTGTACAAAACCCACAGGATTTGTAGAAGATCAAAGAAAATGTGGAGTTTGTTCACCATCATCAATGCCATCTTCATCAGATGAAACAATTACTTACACAAAAGTCACATGTGAAAATGACTGCTAATTAAGTAAGTTTTTCTTGAAGATATTTTAATAAAGAAGGATATTCAATAAAATAACAAATAAATTTTAATAGAAATAAAAGTATTTCAATTGTAAAAAAGAATAAGTAATAAACAATAAGAATTACATTGGATTATTACTTTTTAATTATACAATGTAATTCTTTACAATAAATATATTATAACATAACTAAATAATAAAAATGTATTTTATTTAACACTACAAATAATTGTTTATTAATGAATATATCATCTGCTATTTTATTATCATTGTTACAACTATGAAATTAATCAATACGATTATAAACTGTTCAAAATATTACTTTTTCATTTTTCTCTTCATTTTCCTGTTTTGAATATCCAACAAATATAAATAAAGAATTACTATTTAAAATAACACTGACAAACAATTATCAACAATTTTCAACAATTTTCAACAATTTTCAACAGAGAGAATATGGAAATACTTGAAATTTAAATGACATTATGAGAAATACTACAAATACAAAATAATTATTCAAAATTAATAAAGAAGAATAATTAGAATAAACAATACTACATAAATAACAATAATAATGAAGGACGTTAAATATCATCTTCTTCTAAACGATATTCATTTTCATTTGAATATGAAGGATGTCAAATCCACTTTGTTGAAATTATTATTTCACACAAAAACGAATCATAGTAATTGAAATGAAATGATTCAATCTCGATTATTCTTCACTTCAAAAAAATAAAAAGAAACAAACTATAATTTACTTCGTGATTATACTTTCAGCACGATGAGAAGTGTCATATCAGTTTCTTTAATACAATCTACTTCTATCAGAAATCCCTATTCCAAATGCTTGAATTAAAAGATTCTTCTTCTAATGTATTAACAAAATATTATTCAATTTTTATGAAAAGTAAAACACAAAATTTAGGTAAAGAAACAATAACCAATAAAAAAGATAATTAGTTTAAAACAACGAAAATAAATTAATTATTTTAATAAGAATAGAAAGTCAAATGTCAAAAATTTGATTAATTAAGAAAAATGAGATTGTGTTATATGATTATTTCATATTAAAGGAATGATTTAATTAATAACTCTATTCCTTTGGAAATACTACATTTATCTTTGTTATAATGAAAGATTCTCAAATAATTATTTAGTAACACTTATTCTTTTATTATAAACATATGATATTTTTGTTAATTCTAACAACAATTTTTTTTGAAAAAAATAGAAAGTTTGTAAAAAGCAATCTTTTTTTTAAATTTTAATGTAATTTTGAGTTTGAAGGAGCAAAATCGGATGAAATTGAACATAAAATCCAATATAAAGTAAAAGAGATGTAAAAAATAGGAACTAAAGAAAATAAAAGGAATAGTTAATAAATAGCACAAGAAGAAAGAATATTTAATATAAAAAGATAAAGAAAGAAGGATATCTAATAGAATTAATCATATTGGCTTTAATTAATTCAAAAAAAAAAGAAGGAAAGAAGAATAAATTGGATGGAAAAAATGAAGAAAAATAAAAAACATAAAGGAATAGAAGTAATTTAAATGATAAAAAGAGAGAAAAAAAAAAATAATAATAATAAAAGGAAAAACTCAGAAAGAAATTTAATAAAGTAACTTAACACCATGTTATGTTTCATTCTATTTATTAGTGTTGTTATGTCAAAGTCATTAGTTGTTGAAGTACAAAAAAGTGTTGATGGAGATTCTGCAATGTTTATGTCATATGAATTTGATAAATGTTATTATACTGATGAATTTGAGTCACAAATGTTTACACATGATGGAGATCAAATTACAATTGATTATTATGCTGAGTCATCATCATGTTCAGGGAATAAAAAAAGTGAAACATTTAATTTAAATGATAAAAAGTTTAAAGAAGAAATTTGTGATGAAAGTGAAGAAGATGACTGTGCTGTTGAAATTAAAAAAGCACCAAAACATATTGGGTTTAAAGGAGAAGGAGATGATGATGATAATTGTTCTCATCGTGATGACACAATTAGACTTTATTATACTGACAAATGTTTTAAATGTTCTGATGATAAATATTGTAATTATGAAGTTGACAATGGATGGATGTATTTAAATAAATATCCAAATGATAAATGTAATAGTAAAGAAAGAACAAAACATGAACAAAAATGGGAATGTGATAAATGTAATGATGGTACAATGCAACAATGTGGAACAATTTCAACAATGATATTATTTGTTGTTTTTGCTATTTTTGCATTAATTCTTTAAGAAATTTAATTCTTATTTTTTATATTTTATTTCTTTTAAAATATCATCCTTTTATTGTCTTATAATTTACATTATTAATTTTCTTTTTTATTATCTCTTTATACAAATTAAATACATTCTCTCTATCTTTATATTTAATTTTTGTATTTCTTTCTTCTTTCTTTCTTTATTTCTTTGTTGTAAATTATATTATTTTATATTGTATAATGTCTTTCTAAATTAATTTTAATGGATTTTTCTTTTCTTAATATATTTAATTTTCTTTTAATTAGTATTAAACTTGTATTACATTATTACAACATTATTTAAACTACTCATTTTTTCAATCAGTAAATTCAATGATACTCATGTTATTTTTATTCATTGATGTTTATAATTTATTCTGTATGTAGTTATCTATCAATAATGAATGAAATAATTACGTTTCTCATTGTTTTTATAATTTGTAGAATTGTTGATATAAAATAATATAAATGTAATTAATATATAAACATTATTTTTTATTTATTGTTTAATTTAAGAATGAATAGTTTTATATTTCATGTTTCTTGTATTTCTTTTTTGCTATTACTTATTTGTTTATTTATTTTTGTTATCTTCTTTTATTCATTCAATACTTTTCA